GCCCTCTCTTGTGTCCCTGTGCCCTCTCTCATGTCCCCGTGTCCTCTCGTGTCCCCGTGCCCTCTCTCATGTCCCCATGCCCTCTCTCGTGTCCCTGTGCCTTCTCTCATGCTATCTTTTTTGGGGGGTGGATCTTGGGCACCTGTGCCCCTCTTTTCAGCTGGAGAGCTCTTACTCACAGCCTCATTCGAGTGCCAGCTCCTCGTCTGTCCCCATACCTTCTGAACCAAAACATCTCTGCTTAAGGAACTTGTTAGAAGCTCCAGGAGCTATCAGGTAACTAGACTCATCCTCACTCCCAACTGGGAGCATTCTGCTCTAAGGTGTGTCACGTTGAGTATGCCACCAGTGAGCCACATCCCCCCCCACCCCCACCAAGGAAGTGTCTCCTAAGGGATTTAAGGTCCTGTTCCTCCTGCCACAGTGTCTGAGTTCTGGGGAGAGTTCCACAGTGAGCTAAGTGCTAGCACAGTGCTGAGTTGTTATTGCTTTGGATGCCGGTGTATTCCCATCTCTCGGAGCAGGTTCTACTGACTTTTGCTAGGCATCTGGACGTGCTGACCTTTGCTTTCTTTGAGTGACTTCAGGTTCATGGTTCTGGCAAATCCTATGTTGGGGACCCCTTTCCAGGCTGCTTTTCTCACCGGCAATATTGGGCCTTTCCCACTAGGTGTCACCCTCTCATCAGCATCGGAAAGCAACTTCCTTCCAGAACCTCCATTCTCTGCTAGGCGGCAAGGGAGATCGGTCCAGCCTCTACCTGGTAGAGGGGTCAGAGGACCCCAGTACATCGAGCAGGTAAGTGTGGCGCCAGAACCTAAAGGACAAACTCAGAGTCGCCAGTGGAGCTAGACGCTTAGTCCTTTCTTCCCTCAGCACCACAGGCGTGAGCCCGTCTGTCCCTTTAAGGGGAAGTGAGGCAGTGAGTGACCTCTGTGCTCTTGCCTTGTGCAAGTGAACACTGAGAGGTAGGTTTGCTGGAAGGTGGTGCTGGAACGCTCGGAAGCCTCTCTCGGCTGTCCCAGGACACCCTAAAATTAACGTACAGAATTTCTTTATCGCAGCCAAAGATCCTTCTAAACTCCCAGAAACAGGATCCCCAGAGGCCCTTGGTTCCTGACCTCTCTGCCCAGGCCTTCTTACCTATCTGCTTTTACCCAGGGCTTCATGGGAAGACTTTGGGCTGGGGAGTGGAGGTGGGGCAGGTAGCTCTTGAGACCACTACATAAAATTTATATATAATTCCCTCTCATTCTCAGAGGTCTCTTCCTAAAAATGTTGGAAACCACAGTCCTTGCTTCAAGGCACTTTGCCCTGAGGAGCTGCCAGCAGATGCAGTAACTGCCTGTCTCTAGCCTAGAGAACCCCAGCCTCTAGTGTCCTAAGTCAGAGGTGCAGGTCACCTTAGGGCCAACAAGGAGCTGGCTCTATCTTATTGTCTTTGGTCTCTTTGTAGGCCAGCCAGAGCCTTTCCCCATCGTGCCCTCAGCGTGGAAGATGTGGGTGCCCCTAGCCTGGCTCGCACTGTGGGCCGGGTGGTAGAGGTGTTCCCAGATGGCACGAGTCAGCTGCAGCTGCAACGACCCCCAGAGGGCACTTTTGGTTTCTGTGTGGCCTACGGCAATGGTCGTCGAGACTCAGGTATGCCCTTGGTATCCTCAGCAGCGTACCCGGGGTGTGGTCAGGTTCCTTCTGGGCTTGGCTGAGCAATGGAGAAAGGCTCCCCTGGTCCTTCCAGGAGCTCCTGCTGCTGGGGGGGGCTGAGCTGGCAGATTTGATCGCACTGTCCCTCTGCTGTCCTGTGACATCTTGAAATCAGAGTCCTCGAGGCTTTTCCAGAGAAGCAGAGGAAAACTGCCTGTCTTGGCAGTTCTCGGCTATTCCTTTGATGTGGTTGATGTATTTCAACGGCTCCCGGCCTCCAGCTGCTGGTGTGTCTGGGCATGTGGAGTGGGCTTGCCTGTCTGCAATCCTGTCCACAGCCCTCCCTCACCAGCTCCTCAGGGCTTTGTTCAGATGGATGCTGGCTCCAGGCGCCTGGCCGGGTTGCCTGCTGTGGGTCCTAATTCAATCCCACTGTCGCTGAATTCTTGGTCCCTCTACATCTGTGAGTCCTTCGTGGCGACCTGACTTGCCTAGGCCAAAGCCTGTGGTCCAGAGTGCATTTGAGTACAAGAGGCCATGAAAGCTATCCACAGGCTGTGCTAAGTGGGGAAGGTTGGGAGGTGTGCTGAGGGAGGGCAGGCAGGGGAAGAAGGGAAGGCGGGCAAGCCCAGGGCTGTGCTCCTGGGCCCTGCAGAGGAGGTTCTCCTGCTCTTGAGTGTCCTAGGTCCAGGCTGTTTAACTGAGAAAGCCTCCTGCTGCTGGGCTTGCAGCACAGCCTGTGTTCTTGCCCCTGTCCTGTTGCTCAGCACCCAGCAGCTTCCAGGAAATATGGACATCAGGTGCCTTCTCCTGCACACTGTGGCTACGGAGTCACAGCCCCAGGAAATATGGACATCAGGTGCCTTCTCCTGTGCACTGTGGCTACGGGGTCACAGCACCAGGAAATATGGACATCAGGTGCCTTCTCCTGCGCACTGTGGCTATGGGGTCACAGCACCGCAGGGAGCACACAGACCCCTGACCTCACAGGCAAGCACTCCAGCTAGGGTGCTGGGCCAGTTCTAAAAGTTTACTTCATCTATTTCGTATTGTGACTGTGACCTCGTGAAAACCACCAGGAAGCAAATGTAAACAAAGCAGGCATGGCAGGCGCCCTGGAGACCACTTGAGACCTGAGTGGAGATGGGACACGAGAGGGTGGAGCCGTCCAGGGCTGGGAGATCAGAGGTCCTAAAGGCCATGGCGTTCGTTGCCTGTTAGGGAAGTGAGGAGGTCAGGCTGGAGCTGAGGGCAGACAGGGACTTAGGGTTCCTCGCTGAGGAGGGCAGGGACCGTCTACTGAGGGAGATTTTAGAGCAGAGGTTTGAGAAGACACAGTGGGACAGGGACCGGCACGAAGCCGACTTCCACAGCCCAGGAGACAGACAAGACAGCGGGCGCCACAGGGCGGCCGTGGAGATGGTGAGCAGGGACTTTAACCTGGCTGGTGTGCAGTTAACGTGACCCGAACTTCTCGGTGGGAGAGAAAGAGACAGAGGGAGAGATTGGGAACAGGAATGGGGTGGGCCTCCCCCAATCTGGACCTGGGGAGGGTCAGATGTCAGTGAACACAGGGAGCTGGCGTTGGGGGCACCAGACAGCGGCACCCAGGCTGTCTCCATGTCCCTCACTTGGATGGTCCTGTCCAGGTGATGTCCCACTCTTGCGGCTGTATTTGGCCACCAGATATCACACAGGGATCTCACACTAGGCAGTGTGGTGCTGTAGCTGTTCCCACCACAGGCCCTCCCCTAGCTGCTTAGGGCCACTTCCCCTGAACCTCGGAGGAGCCACGGCCCTGGCTGCTCTGGCTCCCTGCTAAGCATCAGTCAGGATGCCAGCATGAGTCCCATCTGACACCACACCCACGAAAACAGCAGGTCCTGCCTTCTGGTTCTAACTGACTACAACATAGGCATCCATATCCTTAACAAAGGCTGCCTCCAGCAGACCATAAATGCCAGACTTGCCTTGCAGTCACGATTTCAGCTGGGAAGCCTACCCAAGTCTCCCCAAAATGGCTGGAGTGACGTCAGTGTCTGGTCTGGCTTGGCTACATTCTTCTGGGTTTTGTCATTCCTCCTCACCTGCCTCTCCTCCTGCACACCAAACACTTCTGTGGGTTCGTGTGGGGAGGAGGGGGTGGCTCCCTCTCTCCCTGCCAACAGTGTGTAGACCCAGCAGGTAAGCTGTTCAGGCATCAGAGAAAGGAGATCAAGGGTAGGGCAGGGCCCCAGTGGAAAAGCCACCTGCCAAAGGATGTCTGCTAAATGACACTTGGTCATTTAGCGGCTGAGCCTCACTGGGAAGGCTCATCTTGGCCAAGAAGCACAGAAAAGGATATCCAGACTCCAGACAGGAGAGGAAGTGTGACTGCAGCTCAGGTCGGCCAAATGGCCTCAAACTTTTAGGTGACTTGGTGAAGGACTTGTCGTCTGTATTCAGAGCCTGGCTTCTCCGGGACCCAGACATTGCAATAAAGGGCTCCCCCTGGTCCGTGGGCTCCCCCTGGTCCGTGGGCCAAGGTACCACTTTCCACAGACCACGATGCTCCAAACCAGAGTTGGAGGCACCAGAACAGACATCCATGCTAAGCACCTGACTAGGAAGGGCCTTGGGGCAGTTGCTGTGTTTCTCAGCCAGCTGGCGAAGGGGTCAGGGCTGTGCTCAGCTGTCCCCAAATCCTATTATATTGTCAGTTCAGGAAAGTCACCCACAAAGGCTGTCCCCTGCTGCCCTCCAGCAGGCTGGCTATGCTCACACTGCAGAACATGGTAGTGGGCTCCAGCCTTCTCCAGAGGAACCTGCCTGTGTACCCTGTCAGATGGGGGCAGCGGACAGAACTTGCCTGGCCCTCAGCTGGATACCCCAGTGCTGTGGCAGCAGCGGCTGGAGGCCTGCCTTGTCAGCCCGAGTCCACATAACCTCTCCCACAAATGGATTTCCTGAGAGTAAGCTGTAAATGTGGGCAGAACGTTCACTTTGGCTGGACTTTGGCCCAGATGCGCCCACTCCCACGTGAGAAACTGTGTGCGTGATGGTGGAAGACAGGGCTGTACAGTACTGTGCGGCAGATTTGGTCTCAGCTACTCTAGTGGCACTGCCCCCACCTTGGCCTTTGGACTGACCCTGGGTCCCTTGATCCATCAACTACATCTGTTTATGAGTCCTAAGCAACAAACGCAAGGCACACAGCTCTTCATTTTTAAAATGACTTCCTTATCCTAAAAGCTGCCATCAGAAAAGGGTAAGATCAGTTTATTCTCCCTGAACTATAGATAAATAATGTCTTCAAGGATCATTTGCATGGATTTTCTTGTTTTGAAAGAGGCTGCAGAGAATGAGGTTATGCATGGGTGATGGAGGAGGGTTATCTGTCTATTGTGTTATTTTCATTGGTCAATAAAGAGACTGCCTTGGCCCTTTGATAGGACAGAAAATTAGGTAGGCGGAGTAAACAGAATAGAATGCTGGGAAGAGGGCTATGAGGCAGATGCCATGGAGCCAGCCACCAGGTCAGACATGCTGAATCTTTCCCGGTAAGCCACACCTCGTGGTGTGATACAGATTATTAGAAATGGGTTAATCAAGATGTGAGAGTTAGCCAATAACAAACTCTGTAGAGGTAATGGGCCAGGCAGTATTTAAATGAATACAACTTATGTGTTATTATTTCTGGGGCTAAGCTAGCCATGCGGGAGCTGGGCAGGATGAAAAGCAGGCCTGCCCGCAGCCCCTCACTACACATGGGGAGGCAGGGAAGAGGAACATGTGACATGTTTCTATGAAGCCAGTTGTGAGGCGTGTGTGTCACTGTGCCCTGTATGATTTCTCACCCCCATCTCCTCTCCTCCTTTGCAGGACTCTACGTGCAGGCCATGGCTGACCGGGATACTGCCAAGCTGTACTCGGGGCTGCTTGGAGTGGGGGATGAGATCCTGGAGGTGAACGGGGCCAAGGTTGCTGGGCTGGGCTTGGCTCACATCAAGGAGCTACTGGCTCGTGTGGAGAGCTTGTCAATCCGTGTCTTGAGACAGAGGCCTGTTCCCCAGTGACCCAGAAGTACTGTTGCCTCCATCGACACTCCCTTAGAAGCCCTGACCCCCACACTGCGGGGGGTGGGGGCTGGGAATGCACTACTCAGAGATAATTTGTGGCTGGAAAATGCGGTTCGCAGATCAGGGTGGCATCTAGTTGTCTGGGCTGTGGCAGAGCTGCTCTGATCTGACCTGCAGAAAGACGCGAAGAGCCTGTTTATACATAGCCGTTAAGGTCACTAATTTATGCAGATCTGGGGAAAGAAAATAATGGTCTTTTTCCACGACAGAAGTGGTAGCAGCAGGATGTGTCCCTTTGTTGGAGGGAGAGGAGAGCGAATGACTGTCTCCTTGGGTTGGTCCCTGAGAGCTGGCCTCACGCCCTGGGTCACACTCACTGAAAAGCCTCCTCAGCCCCCAGCACACCAGAGACAAAGTGGCCTCATGGGCCTTGTTTAGTCTCTTTCAGCTGTGACTTGCCTGGTTCCCCTGTGCCTGCACCTTTGCTCCTGATCCAGAAGGGGCTCAGTGTCTTGGCACAGCATGGCAGCCAGGAGTGCAGGTTCCAAATCAAGCGCTGGGAAATGCGGCTGTCAAGAGTTCTGAGCCCGCTCTGGGTATGTAGACATCCGAGAGGTTCTGAGAGCCAGAATGTTAAGTTCTGAGCCCCCTCTGGGTATGTAGATATCCGAGAGGTTCTGAGAGCCAGAATGTTAAGAAATTCTAGGAAATTTTTATGATCAACACCAAAAAATGAAGTTGAATAAATGAATGAAACTATTGCCATTTTAAGTAAGTGTGGACATGGTACTAAGGGTGCAGGAGTGGAGCCCAGCCAGTCCAGCCAGCCCTTTGGCGCCACCCCTGCCTAGCCCGTGGCTGCTGCAGCCTGGCCTGGGCGGGCCTTGGTCTTTGTTCTCTTGTCCAGCTTGGAGACAGGGCTGCAGCTGGTGTCTGGCTGTCCCCCAGCTGCAGGATTCCTGTCCAGACCTCCCTGGTGGCAGCTGTGGGTGGGCAGCAGGCAGGGAGGCTCTGTGCTGGGGGTGACCATCCCACCTAGGCACAGCCTGCCCAAGGGGTCAGGACTCCGTAGATGTATGGACAGGTGTCAGTCTTAAATTATTAAAATAAAAAGCTGAAGCTGCTTCCATTGGAGTTCCTGAATTCTGTGTTCTCTTGACCTTCGTCGGCCCTGAGAGAGCTGAGGCAGGAGCAGAAGGGACGTGGGGGGCTGCAGAGGTAGGGTCACAGCCAGGGCAGATTCAGAGGTCTGTAGGCCTTGAATCAGCAGAGGAACCTGGCAAGGCCGAGGATGGGGAAGAACATGGATAAGAATGTTAGCTAGGTGCGTCCAGGGGTAGAGTGGGCAGCTCATTGCTAGTTTGGAATTTGCCATGGTGTGAGCTAAGGTTAAAACAAAACAGGGGCTGGAGAGATGGCTCAGTAGGTAAGAGCACTGGCTGCTCTTCCAGAGAACCTGGGTTCAATTTCCAGCAACCACATGGCAGTTCAGAACTGCCTGTAACTCCAGTTTCAGGGGATTCAACACCTGCACACAGACATACATGCAGACAAAACATGAATGCACAGGAAAGAAAGATGAAAAATTATATATAAAAAAACAGCTTTCATCTAGATTGTGATGACATGAGTGTTGTGGGCAGCTTTCCTGGGACAAGGAAGACACTGAGGGAGGCATGGGCCTGTGGAGAGGGGACAGTGTAACCTCAGCCTGGGAGGCAAGGAGATGGGACCGGCTCAGCAGAGACCACAAAACCTGCTGCTGCTGCCCCAGAAGTTGAGGAGAGAGGGGGAGGAAGAGACATGGGGGAGTGTTTCAGAACCCCAAGAATACAGGGCAGGTTGGCCAAGGCTACCCCAGAAACTTCAGGGTATAAAGAGGGTACTGAGGCACCCCGGAGATAAATCTGCCCCCTAATCCCTCCTCCACAGAAACAGCACCCCCTAGCAGGAGACTACAGCCATGGGGGTGGGGGAACCCTGGCAACCCCTAGAACTATTTCCTAGCCTGGAGCTTCAGCTGGAGAAACATCACCCTGGAAAAGGCCTCAGTAGCAAAAGTCACCTGTGTTCTGTATGGCAAGGACTCTTGTCTTCTGGACAAAGGCAGTGAGGGCCTGAGGCTGGGAGAGGAGGAAGAAGCTACAGGGGTAGGGGATGGGGGTTGCAATCACTCCAGGGATGGGCCAGGGCCCTGTGTATCCTACTTAGTGTCTGAAAGGGTTCTCCGAGGAATATCCTGCTTCTTGTCCTTTCAGAGGTGGGAAGCCCAGCTCAGTGCCACCAGCCCTGTCTGCCTGTCACTGTCTTGTCACTTGTCACTCTCTAGTCTTCCCCTGCTTTTCCTCCCCCAGTGCCAGAGAAGGAGAGAGCCAGGATGTGAGAGAATGTGCAGGGCTGCGGAGGCTCTCCAGCCTCTGACCTGGCGTCTGAGGCACCCACTGTGGCCCCTGCTCTTGCCTGGAATAAAGCAACGCTGAGGTCCCTGACCTGTGTGCATGGCGGGAAGGGGCTACTTTCTCCAGCACCTTGTCTGATCTCCAACATCTGCTTTACCTAGAGAGCTGCTGACCCAGGACTGGTCCAGCCCTTCTCTAAATACTGTGCTATCAGAACCTTCTAGAACTAAGTTAGTTGCCATAAGTCAGGTCTGGTGCAGGCCAGAGGGGCAGGGGAAAATGAGGAAGACTCCATCAAGAGGGGCAAGAGCAGCGCACCACCTGGGCAGAGCCGCTGAGAGCCAGACATAGTACAGCCTGGTGCAGAGCCAGAGAACTGGCAATGGGAAGGGGAACAGTGCACCCAAGCAGGGGTCTGAGCATGGGAGCTTGCAGTGAGAGCAAGGATACTCAGGCATTAAAAATATACACCCTGGGCAAAAGATGTGGGTTTCCCCTGAATAATCTGTGTCCCCTAAACTCATGAATGGCAGTTGAGTTAGGGACCACAGAACAAGAACCTATTTTGGCCTCAGATCAGCCAATCTCCTGAGGGGTTGCAGGGCAGGAATGGGTGAAGGTGGGAGAGGACCTCAGAAGACACTATTGTTAATCAAGCCTTGCTTCTGCTTCCAGGAAGAGGACACAGAATGACCCCTAAGGTGTGCCTTGAAGGTTGCCCAGGATCTGGCAGGAGCTGAAAGCAGCATTCCTACCACTAGGCACTGTGGGTACTGGTTCACCTCGGAGTGTAGCAACGTGTGCTGTAGGCCTTGTGGCTAGGAGGTAACTGTCATCCTGCCAGCCATCCAGAAGCAACTTCGCTGCTTTCTAAGACAAAACAGTAGCGTGAAGTGCAAGTTCAGCAAGTCCGGGTGTCCCTGAGTCTGGGCAGGCCACAGGCTAGTCCTCAGCTGCACCTTCAAGGCCACAGGCTGCTGAGGAAGGTGCCCAGAGGGCCTCTCCTGCCAGGCCCAGACTACCACAACCTCGTGTGCGGTGAGTGACCTAGATGACATCTCAGGAAAGGTACTGAAGGAGGCACCAGGCCAGCTGGGGGTGAGGGAAGGGTGCTGACCGAAGCTGACTCACAGCTGGGCCCAAGTGTCTGTGTGCAGGGGTGAGCACTGGGTACACGGTCCCCAGGCCTTAGGTTAGGGAGCCACAGGAGGCTCCAAGTTCTAAGTTAGCTAGGGGGCACAGGGGCAGGCAGTGTGCCACCCTGATTTACTGACCTTTGCAGGGTAGGGGTGCTGTACTTCACTTTCAGCTTTGAGGTCCTTTGGGAGAAATGAGGTCCAACTTTGCACCACCTGCAGGAGAGACAGTGTTCCTTCCCTGGCAGTGTTTCGGACCCTAGAAAGTGGGGCGTGTTGGGAGGAAGGGCTGGCAAACAAAGAGACCCTCCCACAGAACAATGACAGGTTCTCTAGCGTCACCTTGGGCCGAGTTGGTGGAACTGATAAACCCAGGCATGATTTTTGGAGGAGGACATCTCTGGTTCTGGCCCCCGAGTCACCAAGAAGCCAGAGACCTAGAAGTAGATGTGCGGACACATCTGGACTTGCAGGCCCTTCAGAGTGGCTCAGGGAAGAGGCTAACCACTGGGCATTTGCCCTTTCCCTGGGCTCCAGCTCCACACACTCATTGATCCTCTCAGTCCGTGTATCCGCGGCCTTGGCTGGGCTGCTGCCATCCACCAGCCACTGCCTGGCAACCTTTAAAGGGCTGGAGAAGTCCTCTCCCGGGCACAAACCACAACGCTGCGTGCTGCCTGGCATTGTTTCCCCTTTAATTCTCACACAATCGTGCAAGCAGGGACTTTAGACTGTGACTTTCTTTGGTGGAATTATCCTTTAGACTTACCTGGCAACAACTGCTCCGGCCTGCTGTACCTGCACCTGCCTGGGCCATTTCTTCTGTCCTCAGGCCCACTCTGAGGCTATTCAAAAGGCTACCGTCCCCAAATCCCTTCCCACCGTGCTCTGGGACGTCTCTTTCCTATGGAGCCAGGGCACCTGCTCAGAAATGGCAACAGCCTTTCCTTGGCAAGCTCTGCCCAGCTTGCAAAGGCTGTGGGTTTGGCCAGGTCGCTGTGCTGGGCCCGAGGAAGGGAGCTGCTGGGACTGGCTCAGATATCGTGCCCCTGGAGCCAGGACTCAACAGCTGCCCTGCCAGTCCTGGAGGGTATCCGGGGCTGTTCTGCCGATGCCCAGCCACCTGCCAGGCCCGCCTTTGTCTCGTCCTTCTGCAATCTGGACTCAGGCCTCTATCGCAGCATGGGGCTGCCCTTGGGGCTCTGGCCAGATGCCAAGCATTAAGGCCAGGCCTGCTCTGCCCTTTGGGATGCCAACACCTCCAGAATGGAGTCAGCTATAGCTGTGAGATAAGGCAAATCAGCATGCCATGGGCTACAAGAGATGCCAAGGCAGGGGGCCCATCCCCACCTGGGGCCACAAAGGCTTCTGGGGAGGGCCAGCCTCAACACCAAATTCACCAGCTCTGGAGCTAGATCGGGAGGAAGAAACATGGGCGTGGCGGGAGCTCGTGCTACTGTTGGCCTCCGGGGCTCATCCGTCTCCAAGTTTTTCTAGGTCACTGTAAGCAGTTGGGTTCACTGTTTTTATAGACAAAAATCCAAATAGCAGTGTCTTAGTTAGGGTTTCTATTGCTGTATTGAAGACACCATGACCAAAAGGCAATCTGGGGAAGAAAAAGTGTTTTTGGCTCACACTTCATGTTACTGTTCATCTTTGAAGGAAGTCAGGGCAGGAACTCAAACAGGGCAGGGACCTGGAGTCAAGAGCTGATGCAGAGATCATGGAGGGGTGCTGCCTACTGACTTCTCATATGGCTTGCTCAGCCTGCTTTCTTAATGAACCCGGGACCACCAGCCCAGGGACAGAAACACCACAATGGGCTGGGCCCTCCACCATTGATCACACCTACAGTCGGGTCTTAGAGAGGCATTCTCTCAATTAGGTTTTTCTCCTTTCAGATAACTCTAGTTTGTCAAGTTGACACAGATTAGCCAGCACAACCACTAAGGCTGACTTCCTGAACTCCTGAACCAGAATTATTATTTTGGGTATTCCAGGCTGGCCTTGAACTCACTGAGATCCTTGATCTCCTGAGTGGTTGGGATTACAGGCCTATGTAACCCTGGCCTGGATCCATTTTCCAGACTTAACAGTAGACTTTAATGAAGGCTCTGAGACATAGAAGACCAAGGCACAAGACATCCACACCTTACCTCAGGCACTGAGGAGTTCGGTGTTTTAGGGGCTGGAAGGTGGCTCAGTCAGGGAGTGGCGTGTAAAGTGTGAGGACCAGTCTGTGAACCCACAGCCTTTAAAAAGCCAGCTATGGTAATGGATGCTTGCAATCCCAGGGCTGGGAAGGCAGAGGTGGGAGGAGCCCTGGAGTTTGCTGGCGAACCAAGCCCCAGCTTGGAAAACTTGTTTCAAAACCAAGGTGGCAGGTTCCTGAGGACCAACATCGATGTCAGGATAGGAGAAGCTTAGTGAACACCCGTTTGCCATCCCTGAGCTCGGACCGGCAGTTTTTCCCCTAAAGAAGCCTGTGGTGCCAGCTGTACCCTTGAGTGAACTTTGACCATCCTTACTAGAGGCTGGACTTGGTTTCATACATAGCAGGCAGGCACCTACCTCCCAACTGCTATGCCTCTAACTTCTT